TCTTCTTCTTCTTCTTCTTCTTCTTCTTCTTCTTCTTCTTCTTCTTCTTCTTCTTCTTCTTCTTCGAGTTTCAATCTAAAATTCAGTCAAAACCAAGTCTAATCTTCACCAAAACCCCTCAAAATTGAGATATAAATTTCAAACCATATTCCCAATTATTTTCAACAACACCCAATCCAAACAAATAATGATTTTTGAAAACCCAAATTTGAATTCAAAGCTTCAAAGCTTTTTATTGGCTGTCAATGGTGGAATTGCTGCTCTCTTTTCCTTTGCTTTGTATTTTTGCCATAATTGCTTTTGTTTCAGAAGAATTGTAGACGATTTTGTCGATTTTGATTTGTGAAATCAGAGAAAATATTGAAATAGAGTTTAGCGCAAAAAACAGAGTACGAAAATTTTGTAACGAAGTCGACGATAGTGATTACTGTGCGTGATTTGCGTTGGAAGATCTGGATAATATTTAATTCCCCTTTTTTAGCGCGCCTAAATAAGGAATCCTACAACTATAATGATTCTTTATTTAATGCATTGTATATATTATGTAGAAATACTATTAGCATGAAGGGTAATATGCAAACTATGAACATATTTGGTAATATAGTTTCGTATATGCTATAGGAACGACAGTACACTAGTTCAAGGAAGGTGGGGTTCTGTTACAGAAATTCAGCAGCATGGTCATGTACTTGTTATTTTGGCATTTGTGTATGATCAAGGGTTTAATGCAAGTCTAATAGAAAAAGGCTCGGGAATTGAAGTGGGGAGAAATGAAGAAGATGGTTCATTTACTAGAAATGATATAGCCAAGGCAGTGAGCAAAAAAAGCTACTGTCAATTTTGGAGATCAGAAGCTTCACGATACGTTGCTAGCTTTGTTGAGTATTTAAAGAAGGCGAAATACATAAACGGTCACTTTAAATTGTTCTCAACGATCAGACAAACACCCGACCACCCGACCCAGTCAGCTCATCTTGCGTGTAATACACTCACCGAGACACACATCGCCTATCCATTCCAAACTTTAATAACAGTAATATACCTTAATGAAGTCTCTAATTTAAGCCCAAATCGGAACTCTAATTTTCACTTTATCTTCTCCATCTTCCTTCTGATATACCCCTCCATTTTGGTGACCTTCCTTTCAATTGGAAAGAATTTTTCAAATTCAGGACATTAGACAAAGAACCCGTTCCAAAACAGGATCCAAACAGTATTCCATAAGTTTCAGAGAAGAAAACCGTTTGCGCAAACAGGAAGATAACATGGGTAGATTCTCATCCAACAACACCGCCTCAGTTTCCGCCTCAGCTTTATAACCTTCTCCATCTTCATCTTCATCTTCAAGTCCCCATCTCCGGCGGAGGTTGAGCAGTTGGTTTCTCCATCATCAAATAGCCGCTTCAATCTTAATCGATAGCTTCTTCTCTTCCCCGGACTCTATAACTTGCTTCATCATCTTCATCAGCTCACCGTCGCCGGCGAAATTGGCGCTATCAATTTCTCCGCCGCCGAATTGCCACTTCATTTGATAGATA